ATCACTCTCTGTGTAAAGAAGTATTTCCTTTTGTCTGTCCTGAACCTACTGCACATCAGTGCCATTGGATGCCCTCGAGTTCTAGTCTTTTGGGAGAGGGAGAAAAAGTTATTTTTGTCAACTCTCTCCATCCCATGCATAATTTTGTAAAGCTCTGTCACAGGGGTGTCGAACTCATTTGTTATGAGGGCCGGATCGGGCATAAGTGAGACTTTGTCGGGCCGGGCGGTGTGTGTCATAAAATCTAATGCCAGGTAGCGGAGATACAAACTTCATAAAGGACACAAACACAAAGGGTGGGGTTTTTTTTAACTTAAAATGAAAACATGCTTAAAACATCAGCACTCTTGCAATATTTTGTTTATTTAACAGCGTCTGATAACTGACACCTCTTGCTCTGAATTATTACATCGAAATGTCTGTGCTGTTGCAATCTCGAGTACGCTGTTCAGGTGTGTATCTGCAAACCTACAATGACGCAGCAGCAGCAGAACTGGAAGAAGAAGAAGCAGAAGACAGCCAGTTCCACTGCGGGCCTGATCTGGCCCCCGGGCCGCATGTTTGACACCCCTTCTCTATCACGTCTCTCCCTTAATCATCTCTTTTCTAAACTGAGAAGTCCCAGAGACTCTTCAGCCTTTCCTCCTAGGGAAGGTGCTCCAGCCCCCTCATGATCTTGGTTGCCTTCCTCTGGACTTACTTGCTTCCCGCGGTACGTTCGCCCTTCGTAGTCATGGCCTTGTGGTGTCTGAACCGTGCAGCTCTGGAGAGAGGAAACCACAAGAGATCATCCAAACGTGAGTGTGTCTCTCTGTGTGAAACTTTATTGCTCCCCGGAGCTCTTTGCACTTCCCCGTAATTTGCAGTCACCAAAAAGATTATGCAAAATGAAGGCAGGCCGATCAATTCACTTTTGCAAAAATTTGCTTCATAAGAACATAAGAGATGCCAATGTTGGATCAGGCCAAAGGCCCATCCAGCCCAACACTCTGTATCACACAGTGGCCAGAAATACCAGGTGCCATCAGGAGGTCCACCAGTGGGGCCAGGACATTAGAAGCCCTCCCACTGTTGACCCCCCAAGCACCAAGATGACAGAGCATCACTTGCCCCAGAGTCCCTATCTATACCTTATGGCTAATAGCCACTGATGGACCTCTTCCTCCCAGCGCCATCCGGTTATCGTCAGGAATTATTTATTTATGTCATTTGTAGTCCGTCTTTCTCAGTTAGGATTCAAGGTGGATTACACCGAGCGGGTCAATGCAATCGCCGGGGTTGGGTATCCAATAAACCGTTCAAGAGGATTAGGGTTGTAGAACCAACCAGAAATCTAAAAATGGAACTGAAGCTAAACCTATGTCTTAACATAATATGTTCAGATATGTTCAGGTGGGTAGCCCTGTTGGTCGGAAGCAATAGAGCAACATTTGAGTCTAGTGGCACCTTGAAGTTCAACAAAGTTTAATTCTGAGTATAAGCTTTCGTGCGCACGCACACTTCTTCCAGGGGAGCAGAGTTTGAGTCCAGAGGCACCTTGAAATAGAGATGTAAAATTTCCGGAAATTTTGAAGCTCAGAAAACCCCCCGGTTTTTTTCCCTTTTTTGGGGGGAGGGCAGAAATTTTCGGAGAAATTGAAAAAATGCTACATTAGCACTTTTTTTTCCTTTTCCAGATTGAAAGTAATTCTGTTACTTTAGGAACATAAAATATGACTATGGACATTTTTACTTGGCATGAACTTATCACAACTGGCATATTAAAAATATAGTGTATCCAAACAATTATTACAAACAGAATACCCACCCGCATGCAAAAACAAAACTGAAACCTTTTCCTTTTCGTGTGACAATAGCACCTCCTAAAGGAAGAAATGCATTTTGTTCTTGCATTGGAGAGTTCAGTTTGTAACCTAGGACTTGCTTGTCCTCAGTGCACAGAAATTAGATCAATCTGATACCATACATATTTTTAGAAATGATTTGGAAAATATCTGAACACCTTGTCCTAAAATATTTTATTCATCATGTTAAAACAAAACGTTCCAGAATCAATTTCTTTTCTTTTCTTTTTTCAATTTTTCGGAAAAAAACAAAAAAGGCTTCAAGAAAAAAAAAACGGAGAAAAAACACGTTTCCCCCCCTGAATTTTTCCGGGTTTTTTCCAGGCCTTCACATCTCTACCTTGAAGAACAACAAAGTTTAATTCTGGGTATAAGCTTTCGTGTGCATGCACACTTTTGGTCAAGTCACACACACTTTGGCAGTGAATGCTTTATTTAGAGATATGAGATGCTGTGGGTTCAAACTTCTTGTTAGGACTAATTTGCAAAGGCGGGAAAATGCAAGATATAGGTAAAACCCCAAAATTCCAATCACCCCTATGTCAGCATTACTACAGCGATTCTGAAAGATATACGGCCACTATCTATTCCAGCCAAGCACAGTCTTCTCCAAGGACATACTCGTGTGAAAGATGTCTTGGGGGCCCTTAAGAAAATTACCAAGCGATACTCCCTAACAAATGAACGGCACACACTCCCCCCGTAAGGAATGCGGTGGCAAGCAAGGGCAGCAACAAAGATACAGACAGTGCGAAAACCAGGGATGAACAATTCAGCTAGCACTGATGTCAGGTGTTCGAGCCTGACAGAAAGCTTATACCCAGAATTAAGCTGTCTTAAAAGTGTCACTGGACTCAAACTTTATTCTTTCCTAAGTAGGTCTATTCAGAAGGGAGTCCCATTTTATTCAGCGGAACTTACTCCCGGAAAAGTGTTCTCAGGATTGCAGCCTAAATGATTCATATGTTTGCCCTGAGCCCTGAAAAGCAACACCGCAAAGCGACCGAATTCTTCTTCTTTTTTTTTAGTCTGAAAATTCGAGAAAGGCAACCTGGCCTCCCCATCCGGGAATCACTTGTGTCTATTATTATTTAAAACAGTTTTATGTCCCCTTTCCACCCGATCAGGTTCCCTGCGGCGGTGAATGGGGGAGGGGGGACAACATTAAAACATCTGAACGATTAAAAATACATTTATTTATTTTATTTATTTATTTGTTTTTGGGATTTATATCCCGCCCTATCCAACAGCTCAGGGCGGCTAACAGACGGCCATGCCGAAGTTAAAATATGCCTACAACAATACGGCATAATAAAACAATGTATCCTACATAAAATTTGGTGCTCTAATAATTTACATAAAAACCAAGATGCGCGACGTCCCACACTGGCGGCCAAGTTCTTCATAGCATGAGCGCCAGGAGAAGTGTTTCCCCGGCTGTGTTGGGCGACATCTACCCCCATCATATGAGGTACGGTAGATGGTTGGAATATCATTGGTGGAATAGTGGCGGCGGTGGCTCCCCCTCAAAGGCCTGGCGGAAGAGCTCCGTCTTGCAGGCCCTGCGGAACTGAGCCAGGTCCCGCAGGGCCCGGATCTCTTCCGGGAGCTCGTTCCACCAGGTGGGAGCCGCCACCGAGAACGCCCTAGCCCTGGTTTGGGCCAATTTCACTCCTCGGGGACCTGGAACATCCAGGAGATGGAGATTCCCCGATCGCAGTGCTCTTGGGGGAATAATTTAAAAGTTATTAAATAATTCAATACGAACACTTAAACATAAATTTTTAAAAAAATCACTTGTCCTGCATGCCTCCTCTTCTCCTCTCACGATTCGATTAGAGCTGAGGAGAATATTCAGTTTGAAAACCATGTTGGATGAATAACGAACGGCAAAGCCCCCATTTAATTCTGCCTTTTGGGGACTGTTTACTGCTACTTATGCTGCCCTGTCAACA